CTTTAATGAAAATGGCACTCACTCAACGTTCTTGTACTTACACGCCCCAACAAAATGGGGTAGTGGAATGCAAACATCGCCATCTTTTAAATACTGTTCGTGCCCTTCATTTTCAAGCCAATTTACTACCTCAATTTTGGGGCGAAAGTGTCCAAATCGCTTGCTATCTCATCAATCGTCTTCCCACACCCTTACTTCATCACGAAACACCTTTTGAAAGACTTCATCATCAGCCTCCATCATACACTCACCTTCGTACTTTTGGGTGCTTGTGCTATGCCACAAATCTTAAGCCCAAATACAAATTTGACACCCGAGTTCATCGATGCATGTTCATAGCTTACCCACTTGGTCAAAAAGGCTATTGCCTATATAATCTTGAGACACAACAGTTTTTTACTTCTTGAGATGTCACAATCCATGAACACCTATTTCCCTTCACTAATTCCACACCCATTACTAACCGAAACCAACCCACTTTGCCAATACCACTCAATGATCTTTACCACTTGTTGCCACAACCCACTACTCTCCCAAATCCACAAGTACCACCAGACACCATTACTGACACAAACACTCCAATCACAATCACTGCACCACCACCTCACCTATGGAACATGAACAACTAGCATCCATAACATCTCCTGAACAACCAGCATCCACTCCATCTGCCACTTTACCCATAGAACACGAACCACATGCAACTTCTAGCCCATCACCTGACTCCTCTCTCAACCCAGCTGCCCCACGGCGTTCCACTCACCCAATAAAACTTCAAACTCGTCTTCAAGACTACCACATCAACAATTCTATGCTGCTTTCCCACGGTACAATCAACTCTTCCACGTCCAGTACAAAACATCCACTCTCTAGGTATGTCAATTACTCTAATTTTTCAGTTGATCACCGCCACTTTATTTCTTCTATTTCCCTGTTAGCCGAACCACTTACATATGAACAAGCAAGTCAGGATCCTAAATGGGTTGAAGCTATGCAAACCAAACTTCAAGCACTTTCAGCCAATCATACATGGACTATGGTTCCTCTACCTCATGGTCATCATCCAATCAGCTGCAAATGGATTTATAAAATCAAGTATCATGTTGATGGAACTGTTGAACGGTACAAGGCCCGCCTTGTAGCTCGAGGCTTCACACAACGTGAAGGAATCGATTACAAGGAGACATTTGCTCCTGTTGCTAAGCTCATTACAGTGCGTTGCCTTCTCACTGTGGCAGTAGTCCGAATTTGGAATCTTTATCAAATGGATGTTCAAAACATCTTTCTCCATGGCGACCTTACTGAAGAGGTATACATGCAACCTCCACCGGGGCTCTTTCGACAGGGGGAGCATATGGTATGTCGACTAAACAAATCCCTATACGGCCTAAAGTAAGCCTCAAGAAGCTGGTTCCATAAATTTTTATCTGCAGTTCAGAGTGTTGGTTTTAAACAGTCAATGGCAGATTACTCTTTATTCACCAAGGTACGAGGTACTTCTTTTACTGTCATATTATTGTATGTCGACGATATGATCATTATAGGAAATAATGAAGCTGAAATCAGTGATCTCAAGAAATTCCTCAACACATGCTTTAAAATCAAAGACCTTGGGCCATTGAAATACTTCCTAGGGGTAGAAGTGGCTCGTTCTAAAGTTGGGATTTCCATTTGCCAGCAAAAATACACTCTGGATATTCTTGAAACAGCTGGTTTACTTGGTGCAAAACCGGCCAATTTTCCAATGGAGTAGAACTTGAAATTGACTCCCACAGATGGTGAAATACTTAAGGATCCAACTCACTATTGCAAGTTGGTCGGGAAACTAATCTACCTCACTATCACACAGCCAGACATCACTTACTCGGTATCCGCTCTCGATCAGTTTATGCAACAACCGCGGAAACCTCACCTTGATGTAGTATACCGAGTTATTCGATATTTAAAGAAAGCTCTAGGTCAGGGATTGTTTTTCCCATCAAATAATGAGTTGAAATTGGTAGGATATTGTGATGCTGATTGGGCTGGTTGTCCCACCACAAGATGGTCTATCACAAGGTATTGCGTCTTCCTTGGAAAATCATTAATTTCATAGAAAAGCAAGAAACAAACAATGGTGTCTAGATCTTCGGCAGAGGCAGAATACCGGTCAATGGCAGTAGTAACATGTGAGCTCACTTGGTTGCGATATTTGATGCATGAATTATGTGTGCCACACCAACAACCAGCCACGTTATTTTGTGACAACCAAGCAGCCATATACATTGCAGCAAACCCAGTTTATCATGAAAGAACCAAGCATATCAAATTAGATTGTCACACAGTACGCGAACGAATTCAAAGAGGGGAGTTTAAAACTGCGTTCGTCCAGACTCAACGGAAAATAGCTGATATATTCACCAAGCCTTTAGGCCAAGTAACCTTCTAATCACATGTCGACAAGTTGGGCATTTTGGATCTTCATGCTCCAACTTGAGGGGGAGCATTGAAGGAAAGATATCAACTGATAGCTGTCATTAGCTAATTATTCTGTAATTATCTGTGAAGAGGAATTATAGGAGTTGATAGTATAAATCAATTAGTTAGTTTCCTAGAATACGTATCCATGACCTGTATATAAATAGTCATGTAATCTCATTGTGAATCATATACAATAACATGTTCCTCATTTGCTTCTGTATTATTTCATAGAGAGCTTGAAGATGGGAGTGCGTTGGATAGAGAGATTGAATAGGGCAGCTCATTGGCTGAGAGCTTGAATAGGGGAGCTCATTGGATGAAGAGCTTGATCAGTGTCCAGTTTCCCCTTTCCTTCCTTTCCTTCTTCCCTTCTATTCTTTTAACACTCAAACGAAATGGACAAAATGGTTACATAAATGACAATACTGACTAACGGTCAACTAACAGTAGAGACCTGCTAGACATAAATTGAAAGTTTAGGGTACTGCAAAGACACGTTTGAAAGTCAGAGGACTATTAGGAATTATGGAATTTAATATTTCTATATGATTATATATGAATATTCTTGGAGATTATTGATTCGAGAATCCAACCCAACTTGCAAAGAAAGGAATCCAACCCAACTTACTTGTTTATGTTAGAAAAATTACCCGTTGGGTAGGACCCGGATTGTGGCCCATCATGGTGGCCACGATCCAGACTGAATTGGTCCAAATCCAATCACCTAATTGGAGCTCATTACGAGGGTGTTGGACTTAAACAATATCCTAATAAAACAGCCCCATTAATTAAGGGATTTGTGAGATTCAAATTTGAATTTATATATTCCATTTATAATTTTGGAAACCATGGGGCTGATTGATTGACAAAGTTTATGGGAATTAAATTACCTCTAATTAGACAAGATCTTTGATAGGAAGGTTGCCTAAAAGAATGACAATAGAGAGAGGACCCATCTTCCCTAGGCGTGTGATCCCTCTTGGTTGTTTTTTTCTCCTTCAAGCTTCACTCTCCTTCAGCTCTCCCAAAATTAAAAAGAGTGCTCCCTACAAGCACTGAACTTGAGAGTTAACACACAAGAGAGATCGACTAGCGTTCTAAGGAGATATTACAGTTCTCGCAAGTCACTGACTATAATTGGTGTATAGCTATTGAGTAGTTCGACTGCATTAATCAGAAGCAAGGAGTCAAAGTCTAGTGGGGCTCGATTCAAGGAAGTATCAATACACTTATTGGTATGAGAGTTTCTTGCACAGAGGTTATGGCGACTGGAGGTAAAATTTTATTCCAAACTATTCTTTTATTTCAGTTGAAAAGATTTTGGTCGACTTACAGTGGTATTAGAGCTGGTCGTCCAAGACCTTAACTCTGTGATTGGTTGAACCTCTCGAGTTAGAACCATGGCTGCCATTAATTAATTTTTTTTTTTTGTGTTCCTTTGTTAATGGGTTTTGGTAATACCGGTAATCTACAACATGGCTTGAGTTTTGGGTTGTATTCTGTCCATTCCATTAGATTCAAGAGAATAGTTTATTTTTTTCTTTTGTTTATTTACTTTATTTAATTATTGCTCTTTGATTCATTCTTTGAATGCCAATTTGATGTTGGTAGTTATGGTTAAATCCACCATTAACATAGAGGTTTGTAGCAGTAGTTGTTGGTTAGCTTATTGTGCATAAACTTGGGTTGTTTGTGATGGCATAACAAGATCAAAACCATGACTGCGATCCAGCATGGTTCAATCCAAATAATGGTATAGATGAGCCATGGATAGAAAATCAAATGAGCAGAAATAATCCATGGCTGATCGTCCTATGCGCTGACATATGTATGAACGAGTGGTCAAATGAATTCAAATCTATCAAAATTTAAAATTAAAAGTTGTTTTGTGTAATTGTACAGTTACGCCAATTTCTACTGTGTAGTGGGCCTCAAGCCCATTATTTTTTTTTGGCATGAGGTTGATTGAATTGTCAAATACCAATTTGTTGACGGGGCCAAGAGACCTAAGCCGATTTGGGTCCAACTGAACCGGTTCAATATAACCTTATTAGTACAAATTGGATGGTGGTCCGGTTCTTAATTGAACTGAGTGAATTATTCGAATAGTTCGTTTGGGATCGCTGTAATCAATATTTTGATCGCGTCGACAAATTGGTTATTGATTGTATCGCACTGTAGGAAATTCTTTTTCTGAATGGGCCTAGCCAAAGCAACCCATTGGTGTGTCAAGGATGCCAGAGTTTAAATTAATCACGTTAAATCTTAACTGCTTAGGCCCAAAGGCAAGCAATTGAGATTTAACAAACTGAGTGTGTACTGTCAGAAGATTCCCTAATGCCAAAAGGTATGGGATAACATCCTCCGATGATGCATACTCAGTTGATATGGCAGTTGGGTTGAATTCCCAAAGGTAAAACTCAATTGCTTTTATGGGAAATTCTTAATCTTGTTTAATTCAAATTACAGCAAATCTCGATTCGTTTGACATTACTGCAATCCCTATGTTGGATGGGGATAATTAAGCAGAATGGAGCGAAATGCTCCATATAATTCTGGGATGTAAAGACTTGGACCTAGCCATACAGGAAAAGATAAAACCCGTGCTCGTTGAAAATGTGTCTCAGAAAGAGATAGAGCACTTGGATGCATGGGAAAAATCCAACCGAATCTGCAAATCTGTTGTGAAAGCCCGTATAAACAAGAGGATAAGGAGTGCGATCCCTGAAAAGGACATCGTGGCTGAGTATCTCGCAGCCATTGAAGAACACTTTGTCGCCTCGGAAAAGGTGGTCTCACAGACCTTACTAAATAAGCTAGCTAACATGAGATTAGCTAATTCTAAATCTGTGAGAGACCATATTCTGGAAATGAAGGACATAAGCGACAAGCACAATAGCCTAGGTGTGATTATCACTGATCCTTTTTTAGTCACCTTTATACTTACCTCCTTGCCTTCTGTGCATGGACCATTCAATGTATCATACAATACTCAGAAGGAATCCTAGAGCTTCAATAGGCTCCTAACCATGTGTGTACAAGAGGAAGAAAGACTCAAACAAGAGAGGTTGGAAACTGCCAACCTTGTTGTAAAAGGTGACAAGAAAAAGAAAAGTCCTCCACAGAAGAACAAGGGGCATAAAAATGCTAAAGGTAAGCCGAAGAGTGAGCTCACTTGCTTCTTTTGTAAGAAGAAGGGCCATCTTAGAAGTTACTACATAAGGTTTAAGAGCTATCTGGAAAAGAAGAAAGGTCTAAAAAGGAAAGACTCAGGTACTAATCTTTAACCATATTGTTAACACCATGCAGGGACTGTGAAGGACAAGGAAGCCAAAGCCGAATGAACAATTCATTTTTCTGGGAGACGGAAATAAAGTGGCAGTAGAAGCCATAGGAGTTTTTGAAATAGTTTTGAGTACCAGTTATAAATTGATGTTGAACAATGTGGTTTGTGTACTTGGATTTTCCAGGAACTTGATTTCTGTTTCTAAACTAGTACTTGATGGATACAGACTTAATTTCTTTAATTCAAAGTTAGAGATATTTTGTTCATCTAGATTAATTGGTTTTGGTAATTTGATTGATAACTTGTACAAATTGAATTGTTCATCGGATTTAGACAAATTGATGTCTTATATAGTTGGAACAAAAAGGAGTTCAATAGTAGAAAACAACTTATTCTTGTGGCATAGAAGATTATGTCACATTTCAGTTGACTGCCTTAAAGGACTCATGAAAGACGAAATTCTCGAAAACATAAGCCTTGAGAACTTTCCTACCTGTGCTGATTGCATTAAAGGAAAGCAAATATGCAAGTAAGGAAAGAAAGCCACGAGAAGTGAAGCTACAAACATATGTGGACCACTCCCTACTCCCTGCTTGAGTGGTCAAAGATATTTTATAACATTTATTGATGACTATTCAAGGTATATGTATATATACATACTTCATGAAAAGTCTGAAGCCTTGCAGGCGTTTAAGATTTTGAAGGTAGAAGTAGAAAAGCATATTGGAGACACAATAAAATTGGTCCAATCTGATAGAGGAGGAGGTTATTATGGGAGGCATATGGACTTGGGACAAAGTCCAGGACCCTTTGCGTTGTTCTTAAGAGAACATGGAAAAGTCACACATTACGCTATGCCCGGATCATCAGAACAAAATGGTGTAGCTGAGAGAAGAAATAGAACCCTTAATGGACATGGTGAGGAGCATGATAAGTGGCTCCGTCTTGCCCATAAGATTGTGGGGAGAAGCTCTGAAAACCATGGTATATGTATTAAATAGAGTACCAACTAAATCGGTATTGAAAACTCCATTCGAGTTATGGGTTGGAAAGAAACCTAGTTTAAATCATGTACATTTTTGAGGTTGCAGAGCTGAGTATACAACCCACAGTTCTTAGAGGCATGATCTAAAGGGTTCAGGTTCTATTGTCCAAATAATTCCCCAAGAATTGTAGAGACAAGAGATGCAAAGTTTTTAGAGGACCTCTTGGAGAAGAGGGAGAATCTCCGAAGCATTGATTTTAGGGAAGTCCAAAACATTGATAGACATCTCAGCATTGTTCTGCCTACAAACTTTGTTGTAGTACGATAAGAACAACCGTCAGTAGAACAAACTACTGAAGTAGATGCGACTGTTGCTCATCAAGAAGAACCTATGAAGGAAATACCATCAATCATAGTGAGCACGTAGGCACCAATTCTTCCTAGGAGATCAACTAGAACAAGAAAAAGCACCGCATCCTCCGACTATGTATACCTTCAAGATACCGAGTTTGATTTGGGTCCTTTTATATACCTAGTCACATTCAAAGAAGCCATTGAAAGTCGTAACTCCGCGCTTTGGCTTGAAGCCATGAAAAACAAAATTGACTCCATGGTCACTAATGGCGTCTGGGATGTAGTACTGCTATAGATAGGTGCTAAAACAATTTCATGCAAATGGATATTTAAGACTAAAATGGCACTTATTGGTGAAATTGAGAGGTACAAAGCAAGACTAGTGGCCAAAGGGTACAATACAAAAAGAGGAGTTGATTACAATGAGACTTTTTCCTTTGTCTCCAAGAAAGATTCATTCAGGATAATCATGGCATTAGTAGCTCATTATGACATGAAGCTACATCAAATGGATGTGAAAACAACCTTTCTGAATGGTGATCTGGAAGAAGAAATGTACATGGAACAACTTGAAGGGTTTAAAGCTGAGGGCAGGGAACATATGGTTTGCAGAATAAAGAAGGCAATCTATGGGTTGAAACAGGCCTTCCGCCAATGGTATTACAAGTTCCACAGTGTAATTACATCTTTCGGATACAAAGAAAATGCAGTGGATTAATGTATATACCTCAAGGTCAGTGGGAGTAGATTCATCCTATTGGTGTTATATGTTGATGACATCTTGTTAGCTAGTAGGGACATAAGCTTGTTGCGCCAAACAAAAGAATTTCTAAAACATAAATTTGACATGAAGGACATGGGAGAAGCTTCTTATGTCCTAAGGATTGAGATCCTGAGAGATAGAGCCCGTAAAGTTTTGGAGTTATCTCAAAGGACTTACATTCAAAGGGTCTTAGAATGCTTTGGAATGGAAAACTGTGCACCAAGTGTAGTTCCCATTCACAAAGGAGATAAGCTTAGCAGTGAAAGTTGTCATCAAATTGAACATGGTGTCCCTTATGCATCAGCCGTTGGCAGCCTGATGTATGCACAAGTTTGCACAAGACCTGACATTGCGTTTGTAGTGGGAGTACTGGGTAGATTTCAAAGCAACCTAGGTAGGGAACATTGGAAAGCTGCTAAGAAAGTGCTCAGGTATCTGTAGGGAACCAAATAGTATATTCTCACATACAAGAAAGGGGACAAATTGATACACTGATTCAGATTATGGTGGTTTCCCAGACACCAGAAAGTCCACATCGGAGTATAGATTTATGCTTGTTGGAAGAGCAATTTCTTGGAGGAGTAGCAAGCAGAAGTTGAGAGCTTCCTTCACGATGGAAGCAGAATTCATTGGGTGCCATGATGCTATGGCACATGCAATATGGCTAAAAGCTTTATTATCAGCCTGGGTGCCCTAGTATTGGATTATGTAGATAAAACCAATACAACTTTACTGCGATAATGCAGCAGCTATGTTTTTCTTTAAAAATAACAAGAGCAGTAGCCAAAGCAAGTACATAGATTTGAAGTACTTGGTAGTAAGGGACAGAATACAAGGAGGCAAGGTAGACATCCATCATATCAAAACTGACAAAATGTTAGCAGACCCCATGACTAAGGGGTTGTCCCCAGTGATTTATCAAAACCATGTGAAAAACATGGGTGTTGTCAGTTCGTTGGATGAATGCAGTTTAATTTAGTGACATGTGTTGATGCCTCCTATATCTGCGGATGTCTCATGGCCTGTCATATTGTGCACATATATAAGATGACAGACTATGGATTGAAAACACAACAGGGTCCATACACCGAGGGTTGTGATGCATAATTGTATAATACATGGAAGAAAACTTGTATAATCCGAGGGTACCACCATGATTTACATTATGCTAGCAATTTCCTAAGTGGTTTGGTTTGGTTGAATATATATATATATATTCTCTATGGCCACCTTTCGGGCCAAGTGGGAGATTGTTAGAAGAATTATCCGTTGGGTAGGACCCGAATTGTGGCCACAATCCAGACTGAATTGGTCCAAATCCAATCACCCTAATTGGAGCTCATTATGAGGGTGTTGGACTTAAAACAATTTCCTAATAAAACAACCCCATTAATTAAGGGATTTGTGAGATTCAAATTTGAATTTAAATATCCCATTTATAATTTTGGAAACCATGGGGCTGATTGATTAACAAAATTTATGGGAATTAAATTTATGGCAAGATCTTTGATAGGAAGATTGCCTAAAAGACTGACAATAGAGAGGACCCATCTCCCCTAGGCGTGTGATCCCTCTTGATTTTTTTTCCTCCTTCAAGCTTCACTCTCATTCTGCTCTCCAAAGAGAAAAAGAGTGCTCCCTATCAGCACTGAACTAGAGAGTTAACACACAAGAGAGATCGACTAGAGTTCTAAGGGAATATTACAGTTCTCGCGAGTCACCGACTATAATCGGTGTGTAGCTGTTGAGTAGTTTGACTGCATTAATCAGAAACAAGGAGTCAAAGTCTAGTGGGGCTCGATTCAAGGAAGTAGAAAGCGGTTTCGATCAATACACTTGTTGGTACGAGAGTTCCTTCCACAGAGGTTATGGCGACTGGAGGTAAAATTTTATTCCAAACTGTTCTTGAAGGACCGAGTAGATGCAGAGGTGAATGGCTAAAATCTGGATGGAGCCAAAATTTGGAGGTTGCTTGACCTTCCAAGTTATCTTTGATTTTGCACCTCCTGCTATCTTTGTGATAGCCATATATATAGGTCTTTCCCCAACGTTCCCTTCCTTGTTTTGAGGAGGGAGCGTAACCGACTTGAACGTTTGGAGGGAAGACCAAGTCAAGGCCTCTCCAGATTGAGACAAATGTCTCATACTAACCAAGGATCTAGCCACATGGTCATCCAGTCTAGACTGGGTCAAATGGATATCCGTTGACCCAATAAGAACTGGAATTTGGATCAGCAATATTGGTATCTCCATGCATAAAAACATTTTCAAATAAACAATCAAATAAATTTATTTTTATAGAAAATAAATAAATAGGTAATAATTTAAAATGAATGATTGTGTGTGAGAGTGTTGCATGGAGATAACCATAAATTAATCATCTTCCATCAACATGTGGCTTGTCACATAGCCATTGGATATTCCAACATGTTGAGGATCAAACAAGGGCCTATGGCCACTCTACCAACATCTCCCACTTGGCCAATTATGCCCGAGATGAATAAGTGCCAACCAATCCCATTGCTTTGACGTGCCTTACATAATATGTAATTGCAATGGGTTTAGTCTTTGAATCGGCAATCATTTCTTTTGTAGGCACGTATTCTACCAGGATCTATTC